CCCCAGCCCAGCCGGCCCAGCCCTGCCTCCCGCGGCCGCGGCCACGTCTCGCGAGCCTTGCCCCTTCCTCCGCCGGGGCGGGAGGGGGAGCAGAAGTCGGCCAGCCGTGGCCCTTAGCCAGCGGAGGGGCTGGTCTTTGCCCCTTCTTCCCGGGAGACAAGACCCCGCATCCCCGACGGTCGGCAGTGGCCGAGGGAGGGGTCCAGATTTGGGTCTCCTGGATGTAGACCTCCGTCCTCCTCATTCCCTCCCAGTTACCGTAAATTGGGGGGGACGGACACATAGTGCATTTCTTTGTGTGTCTTCCCCCCCCTCGCGCCCCGTCCTTCAGAAAGTCTACAGCGGCCTGCTCAGCTGCGGGACTCCATGACCGCTGAACGAGCCGAAATGCGGACTTGCGTGGCGGCCTCGGTCCGGGGAATTCTGGGCAGTTGTGACTCCGCTTTCAAACATTCTCAACCCCCAGGATGCCCGCTCCGCCCCCTCCCCACCTTGCTGGGGGCGATCCCGAGGCCAAGGGCCACCCAGCACGTTCTGCGCGGTCTCTCGGTTCAGCTCCACGGGGGCCTCCCGTTGCCAATTGTGGCTCAGGGCCGCCGTGGCAGGGGCAGCCCTGAGCCATCCGGCGGAGGCTCAGTCGCGAAACGAAGCGAATGGAAATGGGGCATCAGCGTTTCACTCCACCCCGCATTTCTAGCTTTTTGCACCCCAAAAACCCGAAGTTCTTGGAAACCGGGGAATTGAATCCCGCGTGTTTCAGAGCCCTGGCGGAAGGGATGGCGCGCTGCCTCTGAGCGCGTGCAGAGGGCTTCCAAGGCGGGCGGGGAGCCGGCGCTGGCCTTGGCTCTCGCTCCAGCACCTCCGCGGTGGACAGCTCTGCAGCCCAGCTGAAGTCTTGGCGCAGCTCCGCCTCCCCTGCGGGAGGAGTCCAGCCGCCGCCGAGGGAGAAGGAGGGTGGGCGAGGGGCCCAAGCGAGCCCTGGCCCGAGAGCGGCGAGCGCGTATTTCGGGAGGTGACGCCAAGAACCCGCCGGGTAGATCCGGTTACCCGGAAGAAAGGGACGGGGGGAGGGGTGGTCGCCGCGGGAAGAGCCCCCGAGCAGCCGCGCAAAGCGTGCTCGGGCCGCGCGGCCCACCTGCCATCCCGGCGCTCGCCACGGGGAGGCGCCGGCGCCTTCTTTCCAGGTTCGGCCATCCTTCCGGGGAGACCCACCTCTTATCCTGGGAGGGGGGGAGGGAGGGGGGGGCTGGGCGGTCCTGACAGAGACCCTTCTCTGAGCGCGCGGCCCCTGAGACGGGAGGGGCAGAGCACAAGCGGCGTGCGCCACAAGCGATCCTGCTCGCTAGCTTCTCCGGGCAGCCCCCGCCCCCCCTCCCTCCAGCCGAAGCTCGCTCCTGGCCAGGCAGGCTCCCCGCAGCTGCCCAGAGGCTCGCTCTCCTCCTCGTAGCGCCGAGGAATCCTCGGGTGGCTCCCAGCTCCTCTGCAGTACAGCCAGTCCTCGACTTAGCAACCGTTTGGTGACTGAAGTTACGAAAACGACTTATGGCCATTTTTCACGTTGCGGCATCTCCACGGCCACGTGATCAAAACCCAGATGCTTGGCTACTGACTCCTATTTATGACGGTCACATGATCGCCTCCTGTGACCTTTTGACCAACAAAGTTTACAGATTTACTTAAGGACTGTGCGACTCACTCAACAGCTGCAGTGATTCATTTGACAACTGTGGCAAGAAAGCTAGTAAAATGGGCTCGGCTGCTGCGATCCTAAGGCTGCCTGCTTCACTTTTGTCTGCTGCTGGGAAGAGGAAGAGGAGGAATAGTGGTGGTGGTGGTGGGAGATTTGCAATCTAGGCGGGAAGGACGTGGATGCTACATGAACCCGGAACCCAGTCAAAGCAAGAGACTCCCACAGATGGCATCCCCCCCACACACACACACCCGCTTCCCTGGTGATCCCAGCTGAAGGAGATGAAGGCTGCCAGAGAGGCCCAAAGACTGGAGGAGGGGCTGCCGCCACCCATGAACCCCTCTCTGCTCACAGCTTTCTGGGGCTCCTGGTTAGAACCGAATCGCCGTGAAATATCCTGTCTGAAGGCCGTGATTTTCCCCAGATGAATAAACAGTAAATGATTCGACTTAGTAGATTCAACCTAGAAATGAGGAGGAATTTTCTGACAATCCACCAATGGAACGGAAGTTGCCTTCGTAAATTGTGGAAGCTTCCTCCCTGGAGGCTTTCGCGAAGAGGCTGGGCTGCCATTGGTCAGAAATGGTGTAGGCCGTAGGGCAGGGCTCCCCCAAATTTGGCAACTTTAAGACTTGTGGACTTCAGTTCCCAGAATTCTCCAGCCAGTGAACTCCACAAGTCTTAAAGTTGCCAAGTTTGAAGACCTCTGCCATAGGGTCCCCTGCCTAGGGGGATGGCCTGGACTAGATGACCTGCAAGGTCCCTTCCAACTCTGTTAATCTGTAAATAAATGCAAAAAAAATGAATATCGGTTATGGNTCATCCAGACTATGCTCTGGGTCATCTCATCCCAAGAGAAGACTCGTGTCCGTGTCTTCCTTCATCATTGGCCTCATGGGCGACCCGCGGAGAAATTGCAGGACTCCAAGATGATGAGCATTGTCTAAACACCTTGGTATTGAAATAAAACAATGTGCGATGTAAATTTTACAGCAATATTATAATGGAAAAAGTCAAGATGGCAGTTGCAATCAAAGCCCTGCCCCTATTTACTGTACACAGGTTGTGCCCTTTCCTACATAGGTCATGCATGCCCTATTTCTTTAAAAGAGGCGAAGGCTTTGATATTTCATGTATTCCACCTTTTTTTTTAACCATACCACCACATTTCCATGATGCTGCTGGAGTTGGAAGGGACATTAGTATGTTGCCCTCAGTTACCCTATTTTAAGAGTATAAGATGCACCTAGCTTTTGGGGAGGAAAACAAGGGGGGGAAAATCTGCTTCTGCCTCTCAGCAATTTGTCTCCTTGCAACAAAGAGCAAACAAGACAGACAATATACACTGTTTGTAGTGTTACATTTCAGACTATACTTGTACAGATGCTGTTAAAATTGATGTGCTTCCTGGAAGTATAGTTATTTTCTGTTATTTAAAAGAAGATACAATAGCACTGAGCCTCTTCAGATCAAGTATTTATTTTAAAAAGCTTTTTCATGTTGTTAGGCTGTCTAGAACAGTAAAAAAGCAGTCTTTAAAAAATAAGTCTAACAATTTCAAGGAAAAAAAAATCTGCTTCTGCCTCCCAGCAATTTGCCTCGTGGATCATCAGCTGTTTCAGGCTGCAGGGATTGCTATAGCCTATTGCAGCCCCTGCAAGCCCCATTTTCCCTGTTTGCTGCAAGGAGGTAAATTGCTGGAGGCAGAGGCCAAAGGATGGAGGACGGTGGGTGAGTGGTGATACATTCAGTATATAAGACGCACCCAAATTTTCACCCTCTTTTAGGGGGGGGGAAGGTGCGTCTTATACTCCGAAAAATACGGTGTATAAAATAAAACCATGAAAAAAACTAAGAATAAATATATTCCCTTCTGTTGAAAATATGCCCCCCAAACCACTCCTCAAAAGACTTATTCTCATCCCCAGATCATCTCTAGACTGCTGACCTTTACACCTGTTTTTCAGTTTCTTTCATTCCTTCTCAGAACTTGACAGGCCATTTAAGCTGGGTCCAACTACTGGATGCAATAGAAAAAGTACTTCCCCTAATGTGTATGTTTTTATTGATGCAGCCTAAATTTTGCAAGCCATATCAAACCAGTGACTCTTACTCCGTTGCAATATAGATATAGAATCCAAAATCCAGGATATGGCAGTTCTTTCCTAAAGGAAGACCTTTCATTTACATTTTAATTATTATTTTCAGCTAGCCTATTAGGATCGTTATTTTTTTCTACCTTCTAAGACAGTGAATGGTGTTGGAAAAAATACTCCTGAGAATACTGTGGATAGCCAAGAAAATGGGTCATTGAAAAAAAATCAACCCAGAATTTTTAACTCGAGATACAAATGACCAGGCTCAAATTATCAAATAATTATGGAGAAATTATTTGGATACATTATACAAAGACCTTGAAGCCCTTTGGAGAAGGCTTTGATGATGGGTAAGGTAGAAAGATTGATGACCAGCAGAAAGGTGGATGAACTCAATTACAACAGCAATGGCTGCATCAGTGGAAAACATGAAGGAAAAAGATATTTTCACAGCCCTCTTTTTGACTTGTGCAGTATACAGGTCTTCAATGGAAGGCAGATTGGTAGCAATTGTTTTTTCTGCAGTTCTAATTATCCGTTGAAGTCTGTGGCTGTCTTGTTGGGTTGCAGAGCCAAACCAGCCAAACAGTTATGGAGGTGCAGATGATAAAATCAATAATTCCTCTGTAGAACTGAATCAGCAGCTCTTTGGGCAGTCGAAGCTTTCTGAGTTGGCACAGGAGGATCATTTTTAATGTGCTTTTTTGAAGACGTTTTTGATGTTAGGTGTCCATTTTACGTCTTGAGACATGATAGAACGCAGAAACCTGAAGGTCTCTACTGTTGATACTGTGTTGTCTAGTATTGTAAGAGGTGATAGTATAGGAGGTTTTCTTCTAAAACCCACAACCATTTCTGCAGTTTTGAGTGTATTTAGTTAGCTGAAAGTAACAGAATTTGAAGCAGAATTTGAAACTAACAGAATTAGTTGGCTGAAATTAACAGTTAAATTTGGCTGAAACTAACGGAATTTGAAACTAACAGAATTAGTTGGCTGAAATTAACACTTAAATTTGGCTGAAACTAACGGGATTTTACTTGTTCGTTTTTTAGGGCTTACTAATATTTGCAGATTTCTTCATAAAGGAAAAATGTATGCTTATAAAGAAATGGAAAAGCAAGAATGGTAGTTTTTTTGATTATTCATAATAAGAGTTTACTCCCAGGATTTTTGTCTCTGCATTCATAATCATATTCACTGGCATTATGAAACATCCATTCCCACAGAGAGATGCAATTTTTAAAGAAACTGTGGAGAATGATGGCCTATCCTTCTCAACCAGCAAAGAGGCTATTAAATGTGCTTCCCTAGAAGCTGCACATATACCCCACATTTCCACATTTAGAAGAACATTTAAGATGCATCATTTTTGCTGGGCATATAATTTTTAATTAAATATCCATGCATGCTATTTTATATTGTTGTTATTTTGCTAACAGTGTTAATCTGGAATACTTATCTGAGCAAGAAAGCAAGATAATCAATCAATCAATCAATCAATTATCTTGCTTTCTTGCTCAAGTAAGTACTTCAGGTTAACACTGTTAGCAAAAAAAAGCAAAAAAAATTAATTAATTAATTAAGGGATCATTTCTCCAAAGCAAGACTCAAATAGATGTGGTGATTTATCAGGAGTAGATTTTTAAAAATCAGGCATTGATTCGGGTCTCTTGGAATACATAGAACAGTGTTTCTCAACCTTGGAGACTTGAAGTCCTGTGGACTTCAACTCCCAGAATCCCCCAGCCAGCTGTGTTGGCTGGGGGATTCTGGGAGTTGAAGTCTACAGGATGTCAAGTCTCCAAGGTTGAGAAACACTGACTTAGAATCTCTCTTACTGTTTTTCATGGTCTTGGACGTTAGCATTGTTTTAACTGCTGATAGCATTACTTGAAACATGATTCTGCTACTCGGATGATGAGAACTGAAGTCAATATATCAACCGTGCATGTCTTTGCATGCTGTCCTGTGTGCATTTTGCTGCTGTTTGTTAACTAGCTAGTGCTTGAGTTGACAGAGGATTTATGGTAATGACGTATGAGGAAAGTGGACAAAAATCTAAACGTTCAGAGCTGCCTGTGGGCACAGGCCTGGCAGGGTTTCATCATCTTCTTCTTCTTCTTCTTCTTCTTCTTCTTCTTCTTCTTCTTCTTCTTCTTCTTCTTCTTCTTCTTCTTCTTCTTCTTCTTCTTCTTC